CATTTTGCAGGGGATTGCTTGCGGTCAATGGCCAGCAGCAACAAGGCTCTTCACATCTAGGAAGACATGACAGCACCAGCGGCGTGGCACAATACGAAAGAAACCAGCCACCGAGCCCTCCCGAGCCCGCCTCGTCGTAAACTCGGACTTTTTGGTCATCACCCCCCGCCGCGAGGCGGCCGTCGGGCGCCCAGGCCACGGACCTGATCCACACGTCCGCATCGGCGAGGGTGTGTGTGAGCCTCAGGTCCTGGCGCCGTGCAGCAGCGCCCCACTGACCCGTGGCCCGCAGCGCAACGGCAAACCCTTCAGAAGGGGCAACGGTTCCGGCAGAACCTGGGAATTGAAAAGGTAGGTGCAAAAAAAATAAAAAATGCGCAAACACAGGTTGCGCTGCAACCCTTGATCCAGAAATTGCCGAAACCAACCAGCAAAGCGCCGTGTAAAACCTGCTCATCAGCACATCGGACCTCTTGAGGAACTTCGGGGCCAATACCGCAGCACTGCAGCGTTTGAATGACAGTTCAAAATCCGTTGCCTTTAAGCCCAGGGTCCGCTGTACCTATCGTTGCAGTTTCATTTTGCACTGGCAGAACACGGCGGGACCATTGGAACATGTGGGGCTCCAAAAATGCATGAGATTATCGGAATACTCAGGCGAAAGCTGTTATTGGAGAGAGTCAGGTGGTCGGACTCGCCGCGTCTCACTGGGGCAGCAGCAGTGATTGGGGACTTTGCTCCTAAAAGGATCCTCGCATCTGCACGAGGGACCAAGGACTCCCACGAGAGGCCAAAGTTGCAGTCGCGTCCGCATGATCAACTGCAGCCAACTTTGAGCTTCGAGACTGTCAGACCACCAGTCATCCAACCACAATCGCTGCATTTGTCTCTGACGTGCAGCTGTGTTTTCTTTTGGCGCAAGCCTCTTTCTCGCAACTGCGAATGCAAGAATCTGAAGGTTGGAAGTAGGAAACTTGCAGCATGGCAGCATGACCGTGCAACAATTGCAGCCACATGCGTAGACTCAACGATGCATGGCTAGAGCTGAGGAAGCCGCCGAAAAACGCTGTAGCACTAAAGCTGCCACGCTCATCGGTGAGCAGTGCCCCTCGATGTGGAAATGCCCTGTGAGATCAGAAGCACGCGGGATCAGAAGGACAAAAGCAAAGAGCTGCAGAAAGGCAGGCAAAAACAATAAAGTCAAGATGCCCCAAGGCATGAAACAAGACATGCACATGCCACAGGTGCGTTTGCAGAACCAGTCGTCGAACCATCATGAAGAGGCATCTCTAACCTGGCAAACAATCTGTAAGCACTGGCCTGGTGAGGCGAATGGCTGATTTGCGGCCATGGAACGTGAAAAGCTTTGCCGTCAGAGGAATCATTGGCATGCGCGGGCAGAACCAGCTTGCGTGGCCAAGCTGCGGATCGACCGGTGGATCCATCTGTGGAATGTTGTTGTAACAAGGCAAGGCGAGGCCATTTGCCCACGCCTACGCCTGCGCCGGCGTTCGAATTCCTGGGGGGGCGGCCTGCGCAAGATGCGCTCAACTGAACGAGCCTACGTGCACCTACGCCGTTTAAGTTTTGAGCCGAAAGTGCCAACGCGGTGTGCTTTCGGTACAACTCTGCTGCGTTTGAGAGGGTGAATCACTTACACGCAGATGGGCAGATCCAGCCCTAATGGCAGACAGCAAAATCTCTCAAGCCACCGCATTCGCGGTCTAAGTCTGTGAGCCTGGGCTGCGAAAGGGACCGGTCAGAAAATCTGGCCTCTTGCGCGAATGCCCTGGCAGGGCCTGCGCAGAGACGCGGAAAGCGGCTGTTCTGGACAGAGCTGACGCAGCAGGCACTGCAAAGTCGATGAAAGTAGAACTATGGGGAGTACAAAAAGGGGAAGGGCAAACAGCACATATTTGACTTGAATAAAAAAAAGAACAAGACAAAGCCTAAAAAGAAAAACAAGAAAAAAGCAACGTGAAAGAGAAGAGCAAGGAGACCCCAGAAAGAACAAGTGAGCCGCAACCCTCCGTTTGCCAACAATGTAATGCAAAAGCCCGATGACTAATTCAACAAGCAAATGTTGACCTCATTGGTTCCAGCCGACGCAGCGCCTACGCGAAAGACCCTGATTATGTTGCTCAAACTGCCTAAGCATGCCTCCGCGCGTGCACTATATGACATGTCCTCTTTCCTTATGTTCCTTTACAACCCTGGAAAGCTTTGAATCTGGGACCGTAGAAGACTCAACTGCCACACATACACTGACGCGCGCCGCCTACCTAAACTAGCCTGACCCTGTGCATACCAACATCTCTCAACGGTCAGCACCTGTCGGTCTTGGACAAATGTCTGAACGTGTTCACGCATGCCCCAAGCAACGCGCAAGCATTGAATCCACAACGTGTGTGCGTGATTGTGCGTGTGAGCGTGCGCACAACCGACGCAAACAAAAAGCAGGCAGGCCGTCGCGAAGATTGCTCATGCCCTTCGACCACGCCTGAAAGTCTGCCAACACCTTCTTCATACCTTCTATGTCGCTCTGGAAGTCCGCGGCGGCCCGCTTGACTTCATCTGTGTTTTGCACCTTACTTTTGCGCATGGGAAGAATTACTGAATGATGGTTCACATCTAGGGCGCAAAATTGCAGCCCAAGCGGCTGCGGAACCCTGCAGGAGCATGATTTTGGCGCGCGTCGCAAGAAAGGCTGCCGCTGCGGTCAAAATCTGATCTGGAGAGAGGCCCGCGCCCTTCAAGTCCCGCAAGTAGTTTTCCAGACCTGTCTTGTCGAACCTGTGCTGCATCTTTTGCATGTCCAAGTACAAGCCCGGCATCTTGCGGCCACTCTTGAGGTTGGTGACGCAGGTTGCGACATCTTCCATCAGGTCCTGTCGCTTTTCCTGGGAATATTGCGACAAGTGCTGCTCCACAGTTGTGACAGCGTTCAGGAGCTTTGCGGTAGATTGCGTGATCTGGCTCTCGATGTCTTCTTTCGTTTGTTGCTGCTTGTCTGCCAACTGTTGCATGGCGGCATCCTGAGCAAGAAGGGCCAAGAACAGTCGAGCTTGCAAACCTGTCAAAAAGCGTCGAATTCTGGGGAACGATGAGCCTCAATCATACTTAGGCCAAAGCATTCCTCAATCAGGTCAAGCCTCCATGGCGCCTGCGGTATCCTCTCCATTCAAAGCACTCGATGCCACTGATGCCATCAAAGACACAGCGCCACAACCTGCCGTCACAGAAACTGCTGCCAATGCACCAGCCACTTGAGCCTTAGCAATGCAGAGCGCACAGGTAGCCTTCGCAACTTGAAGAAACTGAGCAACTGAGCAACTCGAAGAAACACGGAGCCCAACAATGGCCCGGCTCTGTTGGCCACCCTACCTTGCACCTAGCAAATAAACAACAATGCGGGTGTGCAGTTGCTCACTTTCCGGAGGAAGATTCGATGGAACAAGGCAACAAGGCAAATATACCTAGAACTCTTTTGGCCAAAATTTCAGCTGGAATCTGACATCATCACATTTCAAGATTAGCCGGAATCGGAAAAACAACGCCCGGAATTGGATCGCGGCTCACGGTGGATATTACTAGTCGCCAGTACCGCCGGAATGGCGGACAGCTTTGCCGCGATAGCCGCCAACAGAAACAATGCAAGAATCCTGCTCAAAATGCCAGCTGCAGAATGGCCGAAAGGCTAAAACCTACCCGGAAATGCAAAAAGGGTACTTTATTGAAAACGGCAACTATTTTAAGGCATTTCGATCCTGTAGGTCCTTGTAGGTGCACTTCTTCGAACAGAATCCGCTCAGAATAAAGGCAAGCTGCGCAAAGAGACGCGCCTTGCTGCACAACGCCTGGCAGTTGCTCGAGCGCGTCCCCCACGCTGCTGTTGTGGGCTTCCTTGCCCATGTCGAACGCCGCTTTGCCAAAATTCACAACCTCGTCGCAATGCTCAAACTCGCCAAACGACATGATGCATGTGTGGATTTGTGGGGTTCCTGCTATCGAATGGCCTGACAACTTGGGCTGAATTGCGCCTGGCAACGTCCTCGCCGTTTACCTCTTTCAGTGCGTCGACAACGCCTTTGTGATATTCCTCTGTCGATTCGATAGCGCCTGCCGTCTTGGCCTTTTGCGAGAGCTGGACGGTTCCCAGCTTCGCAGATGCAGCCGGAAGCGCGCGGGGCTGGCTTTGCCAAACCTGGGCTGCAAAAGTTAAACGTGTTTTTGGGCAAGATGGTCGGAAAAACCGCCTTGTTTGTTGACCAAGCCGATGGGAAAAACAAACATTTTGACCCAGATGGTAGGAACATCATCTTGTTTTGATCTCAAGTTGGTGGGAGAAAACCCGCGAAGCTCTCAAAGGTCAAAGGTGCAACTGGTTTCAGGTCAAGCCAATAACGAGCCACCACGCCCGCCACCAGGACGCCCGCCGCAATCCCCAGGATGGCCACACGTGCTGGCCAAGGGGTGTTCGCCGCCTTGCGGAGCTCGGCGCGCTCCATCAACGCCTGGCTTTCCGCATCTTGCCTGGGCGTGGGCTGAGTCCGAAAACATGCGGGCGCCTTGTTGGGTATGTCAGCTTCCCGTTTAACCAACCTCTAAAAGGGTTGTTTTGTCGGGGGTCCCTCTGGCGGAGGTCATTTACATGTCCACCTATACACAATGTTTGAGGCGGTTCTCCATTGAAATTTATAGCCATACTCAAACTTGTGTTTCTCTTGTGCCACAAAAAGGCAAAGGCCCCACAACCACGTGTTGGGATGTCTGCTTTTGTTGGGATTTGAAAGGAAACCAAAAGGGAAACACACATTTTGGGGTTCCCCTACAAGAAGACACACCCATATTCAGCCGGTCAGCTGAAGGGAAGCCATTGGCGTAGACGGCACAAGTCTCGGGCTTCTGGAAGTCTCGAGCAGGAAATTGCTGCGCCAATCTCTTCCGATGGCAACTCCCCTCTGAAAACACCCACTGCAAAATGGCTGACAATCCCAGGCCTAGACATCCAAAGCTTGAAGTTGGCACAGTTCTGCTGCACTAAGTGCCTTGACTGCCCAATCTCCGGAACATTGCTTGCCCGGACCTGGTTCCCCGCGGAAACCAAAGTAGTCCTCACGCAGATGGGGCCCGGCTCCGAGCCCAAAACATGCCAAATTTGTATTGAAATCTTGATACTCAGGGGTGGCTTTCTGCCCAAAGAAACGGGCTGGCACTCCGGGAGGTACCCCCTACAAGCCTCCATGATCCCTAGCTTCCTGGTAAGGCCATTGTTTGAGGCGGTACCTCCTTGGGGAAAGTACATGAAATCCCCCCCGTCCCAAGATGGTAGAGGAAGTGGAGCTCTCCTGGCCCTAAAAGCACTGGATGGGGGGGATCAAGCAAAATGTAGAAAGGGGAGTTGAAGGAACTGAAATGTCTTTCTACATCTTTCTAACAACCAATGAAAAACACATTGAAAAACCATGTATCAAATAATAAATGAGGTTAGTAAATCACAACCTTATTCATTCTAAGTAATTCCTAGAAAAGATACACACCTTATCCATTATTTTTTCACTACTTAACCTATTTCATTTTCCTTTTTGTTTATCCTTATCCATTTTGCATTTTAAGTATTTTTCCAATTCTCAGAAACTCCAGTTGTTCTTCATTGTTTCTTTTTACCTTATTCAATGCTCGTGAATTTTTCACTCAGACTTAACAATATGACTAAAACACATTTCCACCTAATAGTTCCTCAAAACCAAGCAGCCAAAGCACGAAAAAAAAAAAAAAAAACATACCAAGTCTAAACAACGCACTTTGAAAGAGGCAAGCAAATTAGGAAAAATTATTCAATCTTTACAACCGATAATTATAATACAATTATAACATATAATATTTTACATGTTATTATTATAGTATGGTTATAACTTAAGTTCAGGATAATAATTTAATTGATGATGAGTTGAGGCGTAGGCGTGATGGGTAGAATGCTTCGACAACACACCAATCCTGCGAATTTGAGACTCGAATCCCGAATCCCACGAATTTGGGACTCGAATCCCCTAATTTTGGGACTGGTGTCTTGTTTCTTTGATCCGCCAAACTCACCAAGATTTCACAAATTAATTCGCTAGGTATTTTATATAAATATTCCTGCTTATGTATTATTGGATTGTCTCCCCATTTTTCCATGGTGCCCGATGGAAGCCGTTGTGCAGTTTCAATATGTCTATTATTCCTGATTTTTCCACAATCCTTTCTACATAAATCTCTAGGTGTCCAAGTTGTAATGTTATTCCATAGCCTAGTCCTCTTTCTATAATTAAATCCATATTTACAATAATGAACATCTTTAAATTCAAGTCCATAAACTCCTGATTTTTACCCTCCCTCCAACAATCATGGAAGTTGACAGGAGGGCTTTGGAAGACTATTTTCCTTTTGGGGAACCCCTTTGTGCACTTCCATGATTGTTGGAAAGAGGGTAATAATCCAGTTTGAGGATTTTCGATTACAAAATATTTAGGATTAAAACATTTGATAATCTCAATAGTTTTTAAGACAATACTATTTGCATATTCGATATTCCTAATTCCTGTTGCTTTTGCTTTGCTGTATTCGGTGCACGGGGGACTACTCCAAATAAAATCAAAGTGGTTTCTGTCAATCTGTTTGTAATCCCACTCCAAAATACCAGTGTTGATATCAGCATTTTCAAGTCTAATGATATCACATTAAAACCTAATTTCCTTGCGATATTTCCCACACTACCAGTTCCGCTAAATAATTCTAATAAATTCATATTATTAGAATTATACTTAGATATCAATGATTCAAATAATACATATACTCCATCATCATTTTCCGACATTCTATAAAACTCTAATGTTTGTTGCTTTGGTTGTTTGATTTTTCCTGTATTCAACATATCACAGTATTTCTTTTGCTTTGTAGGGTAGTCGCCTGATGGTCTTCCTATAGATGTTGCTTGAAAATTATTATCGATTTTTTCCTTCTCTTCAGTGCTTTGTTGTTCGCGTTCACCTGGTTTAAGTTTTTCAATGGATTTAAATCATATCGTTTAAGGTTTACAATATTTTTACCGAATAATGGTATCTTCTTCATTAAAGCATTAATAGTATAATTCTCATTTTCAGACATTACTATAAATATTTATTTAGATAATTATTTATTTAATTATGTATTTGTAAAGTTCAATTATGTTAAAACGACTCTTTAAATACTAATTGTTCATCATTTCCTTTACAGTATTCTGTGTTTCTTTTGCTTCTTGACTACTTGCTCCTGTCACATCACGACCCCATTTAAAAGTTATATTATGAACATCTGTTTCTAAGTTGATACCGTCTTTAGTTTTTTGTTTGTTATCAATATTAATTTTCTCATCATTTTTACTTATTTTGAAACTTGTTGGAATACACGAGCATTTACAATTTCCTTTCTTTTGTATTTCTAGTTCATTCTTTTGCACATAGGACGAGCAAACTCAACGACCGATGAGTCTTGAACAATTTCTCCACTATCTTCATCTGTTGAAGAAACACTTAAACCTGTCTTATTCTGTTTGTTTTTCTTTTTTCCCATTTATATTAGTATTTACATTGCTATTTTTGATACATTGTATTGCTAACTTAATTAATTCTAATGAATAATACCAACTTGTTTTTAATGTTATTGTTAGTTATTATTACCTGTTCAATATTCTCTACTTCATCTATTATATTAATATAATCTGAATAACTTCTATTCATATAAAATAATAAGATAAAATAATTATTTGATCTTATTATGTCTTGCAAGTTAGAGTATTCGTGGCTCAGCAATGGGGTTTTCTTCGTGCTGCATCAAACTAATTAGCTTCAATGCTTATTGATTGAAGCAATGGAAAGCCTGTTCCATTATGTTATTCACCACCACTCATAACATACAGATGTTCCATTTAATATTAATTACAAGTGAATGTTTAAATATAATTTTCGAAATATCTTTAATATTACTGTTATTATGTCCGTTAGTTCACCACCAAAAATAGAACCAATAAATGTTAGACAGTATGAGTTTAAACAACCATCATATGACAAAGCAGACACATTGCCTTTTCGCTCAATTATATGTAGTTCATCACAAGGTGGCAAAGGTATTTTAATACAGAACCTCGTGTTAAAAGTATATCGCAACTGCTTTGAACGAATATACATTGTTTCTCCAACAGCAACAATTGATGATGCGTATAGAGAAATTATTAAATATGTAGAAACTGAATTAAACATAGATAATAATAAAGAACAATATTTATTTGATGAATATAAACCCAGAAACATTACAAAATATAACTGATACACAACATAAAATTATAGACTATCAAACGAAAATAGGAATGAATAAATTATTTAGTTGCTTACTAATTATTGATGAGTTTGCAGAAGATAAAATATTTATGAGATATAGTAAAATATTACACGGTTTGTATACAAAATCAAGACACTTCGGTTTATCCGTTATTACAGCCGTTCAAAAGTATAATGCGTTGGCACCTATTGTTAGATTGAACACAAGCAGTTTATATATATTCAAACTAAAGAATATGTCCGAGGTGGATACATTTATAACGGAACAATCAGCATTAGTAGATAAACAAACATTAATGAACATATGTAAAACGGCGGTTAATGACCAGCCTTTTATTTTTTAATTTGCTAAACTTCGCGAGAGTCATGTAAATAAAATATTTATGGTTCGTTTTGAACAGGAGATACATATAACTGAAAATTTCTAATTAAAATAATAAAATATACTAATATTATATGATATTTGATGATTTACCAATAGACATTAAACAAATCGTATTATCTTATAATTTAGGTGATGTTAGATTATGAAAATCCCCTCTGAACAGGGAGGGGGGTAATGGGTGGTTTAAACCGCCCGACAAATGGGTACCACCCCAATATTGGATGTAGGTGGGTTGTAACCATGGTTGGGATTCAGCCAACTCATGATGTTCCAGCTAGAACTGTGGCGCTAACCTGCATACCTGACGTAGCTCGAACATCCAAGTCAATATTGTAGGCGACATGAACAAACAAATCCGCTCAAATCCGGTCCACCGCTTTAGAGTGAGCAAAAGCAAATAGCCATGAATTTGCTCTCCACTTGTAACATCTAGAGTCTAGAGCATCAAGCTTATCAAGACTTCTGGTTGGAAGCGTGCTCTGGGTTGTTCCCCATGAATATGGGAAGGGGCCCTCCGAGTCGCATTTCCAGGACCCAAAAGTGGCATGCATGAGCGCGACATGTCTTGCCCTTGAAGCGACAAAGGCTATCAGGGGGGCCAATTCCTACTCTTAAACTTTCCTTTCACGTCTGAGGGCTTGTTCTCTCAACACCCAACAAATGGCAACAGGTGCGCAAAGTGCATTGAGACCACCATCCTGAGGTCGCAGCTTGATCCGCTTGATCCCAAAGCGTTTCGAGTCTACGATCTCTGCGATACACCACCTGACGCAGGGCACCTTTTTCAGTTCATCGATTCCATGTGGAGACCTTTCCGAGCAAAGGTGCTGAACATCTGGCTGGGAAGTGCTTGATCCAAGAAGGTTTCGACCCTGGAAATGTGACGCGAAAACAACCGCACTCACCCCCGATGTATCCGGTTCACCACTCACAACCCTTCGCCATGTTGCGTTTGCTTTTAGGGTGGTTCCCATGGTTATGCACGGCAAATCCAACAATGGGTTACACTGCAAACAGGATGTTCAGAGTCTGTGTTCAGAGTCCACCCTAAACCATAAGATAGGTGTTGAAGAAATCCCAGAAAATGAAGTCAATGGCCTGCTTTTTCCAACAGCTGAAAGGTTTCACGATGGTTTTATGGTTCCACGAGAGCTCCACAACTTTCTGCAAGGGCTGCGGGCGGCCCTGAGGTGAGGTTACGAGCGCTCCAGCAGGGTTCCACCAAAGTTCCACGAGGTCTGCAGGGTGGTAGATGATCTCCGACTGGCTTTGGACTGGTCAGTGGGCCCCTGAATTGTCGCAGGCCGTTTCCTCAGCCTGCTGATCCAAAAACCCCCGACTTCGCAGTTCGACCCCGGCTGATTTTCTCAGCGCATCGAAGCGCCCAGCGAGCGCAAGCGCGCCTTGGCACCGCCCGCGGGACCTGCGAACTTGGATCGGACGCCGTGGACTTTTTCCCCCAAACGGCACCTCATATGGAAACGACTGCAACCCGCGGAGCCCCTGATTCTTGAGCCCAAATGTTAGTGAGAAGGCTCAGATCGTCCAAAAAGGGCGGGTAAACGCGCAAAAGCAGGCTGTATATTTTCCTACTCCCTTCTTTTGTTTTGGAGGGGATGGATCTCCTGGTTCCCAGTCGATTCCCCCGGATGTTCGCGCCCATCCGCTTGGATTGGATGTGCCTCAGCACTACAGAGGCGCTGCTCAGCAACGTGGTCAGCAGCACCGAAGCGCCAGGCGAGTGCTCCTGACACATGGCGGACGCATCGTCCCCGGGAGGGGCCCCAGAGACGGCGGGTTGGCCGCCGGGATGTTGAGCGAATCGAGTAAAATGGGAGAAAACGGGATATGAGGTGCAAATTGAATGGTGTTGGCTTTGATTGAACTTGGAATGAAATGGCAAACGCTGGATATGGGTTTGAGCAAATAGATTTAAAAAAAAGAGAAACACTTAGATCAAAAGGGTGCTTTGAAAAAAACACGTCAACACGAAAGAAGTAGAGCATGGCGCAAAACAGGACAAGACCCCGAAAGTGAAACTTCCCATGCGTCACTTCTCCCCAGAGCTCAGTCTGCGAACTCAAAGCCGGCCTCAAGGGAGCACCGCAGCAAAGTCTTCAAAGAAGGACCTGCGTTCGAGCTTCAAAACATCCGCTCCAACAGACAAACACGTGGCAAACAGTTGCGTCAAACTTCCCGTAACAAAGTAGCTCAGAACTTCTGCCAACTATTGGGAACCCCCTGCCCACCCGGCCCTCTTATCCCTCGTGGGGTGCTCCTTGGATCCGTCCTCTGGGGCTGGTTCCTGTGAAGATGCTCTGGTTGGTTTCTTTTTGGGTCACCAGAAGGGTGTCAGTGGGTTCCTGGTGTGGGTCTGCCTGGTTTGATTTTGTTTCCGTGGGAAGCATCACACAAGGGAGTCACATGACGCTGTTGAAGAGTTCCCCACTTTTGGCAAGGTCCACCTGAACGTAACCCATGAGGTCTGCAAATGGAAGCCCCAAACGTTGTCCTTGAAAGCAACCCAAAGGTTCCGTCCCGGTAAAATGGCTGGAGGCCACCTCATGGGTTCTTTTTTTTGTGACTTTGAAGGGAAACCAAAAGGAAAACCGGGTCCCCCAAAAAAGGACGCACCCATACGGGTGTACCGTCTTTGTACACTTGGTGGAAGGAAAATCGCGGCAGCGCTTTGAGACAACTCCTTTTGCTTCCAGTCTTGCTGGTCCCTGAATTGGGAAACGACCAAATATGCTTTGGAAAACATTTTGGAAGGAACGACATGGTGTCTGATATGCTATTCTCGTTTTTCGCTGCTCATAATTTCCCAGGGTGTTTGCTGTTTGGCTTTGTAATCTTTCTCCCACCTAGATTCAGCCCCCGACATGCCGGCACTCGGCAGTGGATCCTGCTTTCGGATGGTTCTGCCTATCTGCGATTGCTATGACAAAAAATGTTGGTGCTTCGCTCTTGCAGCCTCAATTTCCACATGGCCACCCCCAGCTATTGATCCCTGCCTGCATCAATACGGAGGCCAAGGCTTTGGCCACACCCTCGGCCTGGCAAAAACCTGGCAAACCACAGTCGACTTCCACTCAACACCTGTACAGGAACCCGTCTTTTGATCACAGAAATCCGGATCCCTGGAACACAGTGGTTGTTTTGCCGGAAGGCTTCTACCACGCAAGAGCATTTCAGCCGGAAAGAGATCCCATGTGAAAGAAACACCAGCATATATAACACCAGCATGGCTGATTGCTCAACATCGCACTTTCAATGGTGAGACCTGGGTTGACTAATCTACGCAACTTTGAAGAAACACCGCTCCCCCCCCCCTCCCCGCCCGCTGCACACGTGCCCTTGCAGAGGCACAGATCTCCCAGCCCTCCCCAAGAAAGAACACTGGAAAGGAGGAACAAAACCCAACACCTCCCCGTCCCTCCCGTCCTGGGCGAGCGTGGGGGCTTTCTGCACCAGGTCTCCCTTTCGTCTTGGAAGCTGCTCCCAGCCTCGCACGAGGAAAGCTTTCGGGAGCCACACCTTGAGGTCGGGGAGGGTTGGGCAGCTGGGATGCACCAGGTGTGCGAGTCGGACTCCGGCTCGGACTCGCTTTTGGTTGGGAGATAAAACACTTTAAAAAAAAGGAAGCCCAAAAAGCCGCCGAAAACACTTCCTCAGCCATTTTCTCAACTTTCGCGTGGGGTCCCATCCACCCATTGGGCTGGGGGTTTCTTTTGGGGGGGGTGAGGCGAGCCGGCGCCGAGGCGCTGAGGCGCCGAGGCTCTGAGGCGCCGAGGCTCCGGGCCACCACGGCGCAGGCCACGGCGTTGGGATTGGCCCTCGGCGGGGGAGCGCCACAAACGACTGGGGTTTGGGGATGCTGGGGGGGTTGGTTGGGTTGGTTGGGTTTTAATTGGTTCGATGGGGTTGTGGTTTGGTTTGCACGGGGTTTGATGGCGTGGGGCTGGGGTCCTCCAAGGGCCTCACCTTCAAAACATGTGTGCATTTGGGTAGCCATTGGTCTAAGGGGGGGCTTCGGGGAATGTGTCCTTCTTGGTTCGGATGTTTGAGCAAGAGCAAATTTGTGAAATCCAACTAACCGAACCATCAGGTAGCCACAAGCAAGTCCAAGTCGCGGAAAAACGCAAGCTGTGCTCACCGAAATCCATCCCCGTCTGCCAGAACTACAAATTCCTGGCAACCTGTGCAGGTCACTTAAAATCTAAACCAACCACCCGCGTGGACTGAAGCGCCTCCCTTTGATAAGGACTCTTGGTTCGCAGCAAGGTTGCAATAACCTTGCAATCAACCACCCGCCCAAGCGCAACTTCTCCCCATCCTCAAACAACTACTTGCCTCAAGCCTCCCATCCTTTGCACCCCAACGCGCTAGCGCGGCTCAGCTGCAAAGGCCTCCGATGAGATGGCGGCAGCTCACCTGCACGGATATGTCACTTGGGTGATTACATTTGGGTGTGTCAAAATAAGGGTCAAAATAAGGGGGGCCCTAAAACCGATCGTTTTCGCTTTGGCTTCCCTTTGAACCCACGTGAAAACGGCTGTTTTGATAATTGACTTTAAAAGGAACCCCCCAAAAAATATTCAAAAAGAGAAAGAACCCAACAAACGGAGGAAGCCGCCCGCCGGAAACCGAGCCCCCCGCCCCCCCGCCCCCGGCCTCAGACGCTCCTTGGACAGCGGCGCTTTCCGCAGCTCCGCCAGCCGCTCCGCGGCAGCGTGGGCCGCCCCCGGGGCCTCCGATCCGAGCACCGCGATGCAGTGGTTCGGTGGAGCGGAGAAAAAACCGCGACGTGTGACTTGTGTGCTGTTTCTTGATTTGTTCATGGTATCTCGACGACTCTTGGGAACTTCACATGTTTTTTGTGTTTGGTCGGTTTCTTATGACTATGATTTGAAAGGATTTGAAAGCCCGAAAGGAAAAGGGGTTGGTAAGGGAAGCACAGGACACGGCCCATTTTGCTCATGTCAGACCTGGGCCCCAGGCAGTCCAGGCTGCCTGGCTGAAGGAGCCCGAAGGATCTCGTTTCAAAAGGCGCAGAACAAAGGACCGACCGAACTCGGACACCTCAGTGGTGAGAGCCTTCCGAGCGTGTCCCGGCTTGCTTTTAGGGTGGTTCCCATGGTTATCCACGGTAAATCCAAAAATGCGTTACACTGCAAACAGGATGTTCAGAGTCTCTGTTCAGAGTCCACCCTAAACCATAAGATAGGTGTTGAAGAAATCCAAGAAAATGAAGTCAATGGCCTGCTTTTTCCCCAACAGCTGAAACAACTTTCTGCAAGGGCTGCGGGCGGCCCTGAGGTGAGGTTACGAGCGCTCCAGCAGGGTTCCACCAAAGTTCCACGAGGGTTCCACGAGGTCTGCAGGGTGGTAGATCCGGCTGGCTTTGGACTGGTCAGTGGGCCCCTGAATTGTCGCAGGCCGTTTCCTCAGCCTTCTGATCCAAACATCCCCCGACTTCGCAGTTCGACCCCGGCTGATTTTCTCAGCGCATCGAAGCGCCCAGCGAGCGCAAGCGCCTTGGCACCGCCCGCGGGACCTGCGAACTTGGATCGGACGCCGTGGACTTTTTCCCCCACACGGCACCTCATATGGAAACGACTGCAACACGCGGAGCCCCTGATTCTTGAGCCCAGTCAGCAGGCTCAGATCGTCCAAAGGGGTCGGGTAAACGCGCAAAAGCAGGCTGGCATGTGTTGCTTCATTCCACTCTACGACATACAAAAAAGCTTGTGTACATTTTCCTACTCCCTTCTTTTGTTTTGGAGGGGATGGATCTCCTGGTTCCCAGTCGGTTCCCCCGGATGTTCGCGCCCATCCGCTTGGGTTGGATGTGCCTCAGCACTACAGAGGCGCTGCTCAGCAACGTGGTCAGCAGCACCGAAGCGCCAGGCGAGTGCTCCTGACACATGGCCCCCGGCTGACGCATCGTCCCCGGGATTCTTTTTGGGTCACCAGAAGGGTGTCAGTGGGTTCCTGGTGTGGGTCTGCCTGGTTTGATTTTGTTTCCGTTCGAGGCATCACACAAGGGAGTCACATGACGCTGTGGAAGAGTTCCCCACTTTTGGCAAGGTCTACCGGTCTACCGGAACGTAACCCATGAGGTCTGCAAATGGAAGCCCCAAACGTCCTTGAAAGCAACCCAAAGGTTCCGTCCCGGCAAAATGGCTGGAGGGCCACCTCATGGGTTCTTTTTTTCGTGACTTTGAAGGGAAACCAAAAGGAAAACCGGGTCCCCCAAAGGACACACCCATACGGGTGTACCGTCTTTGTACACTTGGTGGAAGGAAAATCGCGGCAGCGCTTTGAGACTTCCAGTCTTGCTGGTCCCTGAATTGGGAAACGACCAAATATGCTTTGGAAAACATTTTGGAAGGAACGCCATGGTGTCTGATATGCTATTCCCAGGGTGTTTGCTGTTTGGCTTTGTAATCTTTCTCCCACCTAGATTCAGCCCCCGACATGCCGGCACTCGGCAGTGGATCCTGCTTTCGGATGGTTCTGCCTATCTGCGATTGCTATGACAAAAAAATGTTGGCGTTTCGCTCTTGCAGCCTCAATTTCCACATGTCATGCCGGTGCAAATAGATTGTCTCCATGTCTGTGTGTACATGTGTACATGTGAGTGTGATTGTATGCGCCAGATATATTTGAAAAATGAGTGTGTCTTCTGTCGAGGGTACCCGATGATTTGGGAGGGTTTTAATAGGAAACCAAAAAAGGATTACCGCCGAAACGCGGGGTCCAACCTGAAACAAGTCCACCCCCAGCTATTGATCCCTGCCTGCATCAATACGGAGGCCAAGGCTTTGGCCGCACCCTCGGCCTGGCAAAAACCTGGAAAAACACAGTCGACTTCCACTCAACACCTGTACAGGAACCCGTCTTTTGATCACAGAAATCCGGATCCCTGGAACACAGTGGTTGGTGTTTTGCCGGAAGGCTTCTACAACGCAAGAGCATTTCAGCCCAATGTGAAAGAAACACCAGCATAGCACCAGCATCATTGTAGAATGGCTGATTGCTCAACATCGCACTTTCAATGGTGAGACCTAGGTTGACTAATCCACGTAACTTTGAAGAAGCACCGCTCATCCCCCCCCTCCCCGCCCGCTGCATGCCACCAAAACAGCACGTGCCCTTGCTCCCCAAGAAAGAACACTGGAAAGGAGGAACAAAACCCAACACCTCCCCGTCCCTCCCGTCCTGGGCGAGCGTGGGGGCTTTCTGCACCAGGTCTCCCTTTCGTCTTGGAAGCTGCTCCCAGCCTCGCGCGAGGAAAGCTTTCGGGAGCCACACCTTGAGGTCGGGGAGGGTTGGGCAGCTGGGATGCACCTTGTGTTTCTATCCTTGGTTTAGGTGTGCGAGTCGGACTCCGGCTCGGACTCGCTTTTGGCAGGGAGAGAAAAAAAGGAAGCCCAAAAAGCCGCCGAAAACACTTCCTCAGCCATTTTCTCAACTTTCGCGTGTCCCATCCACCCATCGGGCTGGGGGCTTCTTTCGGGGGGGGCGAGGCGAGCCGGCGCCGAGGCGCTGAGGCGCCGAGGCTCTGAGGCGCCGAGGCTCCGGGCCACCACGGCGCAGGCCACGGCGTTGGGATTGGCCCTCGGCGGGGGAGCGCCACAAACGACTGGGGTTTGGGGATGCTGGGGGGGTTGGTTGGGTTGGTTGGGTTTTAATTGGTTCGATGGGGTTGTGGTTTGGTTTGCACGGGGTTTGATGGCGTGGGGCTGGGGTCCTCCAAGGGCCTCACCTTCAAAACATGTGTGCATTTGGGTAGCCATTGGTCTAAGGGGGGGCTTCGGGGAATCTGTCCTTCTTGGTTCGGATGTTTGAGCAAGAGCAAAGTGGTGAAATCCAACTAACCGAACCATCAGGTAGCCACAAGCAAGTCCAAGTCGCGGAAAAACGCAAGCTGTGCTCACCGAAATCCATCCCCGTCTGCCAGAACTACAAATTCCTGGCAACCTGTGCAGGTCACTTAAAATCTAAACCAGCCACCCCCGTGGACTGAAGCGCCTCCCTTTGATAAGGACTCTTGGTTCTCAGCAAGGTTGCAATAACCTTGCAATCAACCACCCGCCCAAGCGCAACTTCTCCCCATCCTCAAACAACTACTTGCCTCAAGCCTCCCATCCTTTGCACCCCAACGCGCTAGCGCGGCTCAGCTGCAAAGGCCTCCGATGAGATGGCGGCAGCTCACCTGCACGGATATGTCACTTGGGTGATTACATTTGGGTGTCAAAATATGGGTCAAAATAAGGGGGCCCTAAAACCGATCGTTTTCGCTTTGGCTTCCCTTTGAACCCACGTGAAAACGGCTGGATTGATTTTTTGACTTTAAAAAGAACCCCCACAAATCGTGAAAAAGAGAAAGAACCCAACAAACGGAGGAAGCCGCCCGCCGGAAACCGAGCCGCCCGCCGCCCCGCCGCCCCGCCGCCCCCGGCCTCAGACGCTCCTTGGACAGCGGCGCTTTCCGCAGCTCCGCCAGCCGCTCCGCGGCAGCGTGGGCCGCCCCCGGGGCCTCCGATCCGAGCACCGCGATGCAGTGGTTCGGTGGAGCGGAGAAAAAACCGCGACGTGTGACTTGTGTGCTGTTTCTTGATTTGTTCATGGTATCTCGACGACTCTTGGGAACTTCACATGTTTTTTGTGTTTGGTCGGTTTCTTATGACTATGATTTGAAAGGATTTGAAAGCCCGAAAGGAAAAGGGGTTGGTAAGGGAAGCACAGGACACGGCCCATTTTGCTCATGTCAGACCTGGGCCCCAGGCAGTCCAGGCTGCCTGGCTGAAGGAGCCCGAAGGATCTCGTTTCAAAAGGCGCAGAACAAAGGACCGACCGAACTCGGACACCTCAAAGTCAATTTCGTTGTATTCGGGGGTTACATCATTACAATCAGGTGTTACACCAAATGGCTATAGGGAGCATCATGTGTCACGCTTCGAGGATTAAACAGGGGAACAAGTATCACAACGGGGTCAAGGGTGAGAGGATGAGGGGGTGCGGGGGCGATGGTTTTGGTGGGGGGCCGGGGACGACGGCTTTGGTGGGGGGCCGGGGACGACGGTTTCGCAAAACCACCACGTCCCTTTGAAAGCGTCAAAAAACACAACCACTAACATTTTGGTGAAAAAGCCACGATTACCTAATATGGGTCACCCTCGGCTTCCCTCAAACCGCGATCCCGTAAGGGCGACTGTTTCGCAAAACCACCACCCCCAACCCCCGGCTTCCTCAAAGGAATATACCCCTGTACTTCCCCAACCCCTGGCTACCAAGTAAGAAATTCCACCAGCAAAAAGGAAATTCCTCCAGAAACTAACCTAGTCTGAGAGAAACCGCAGCACCCATTAACTTTGCGACCTTCCACAAGTTGTTTGGGGGCTGCCCTGAGGACGACGGTCCTGCCAAACCCTCACCCCCAGCAGTCTCAGGCTTGCAGAAAGTATAGGGCGATTCATACAACTAGCAAGTCGGTGATGCGCTGCAACATAGTCCGCGTTTCAAGGCCCGATGAACCGGCCGAGGGCAGACATTGACTTGTCACATCTTCTGAACTTGAAGCTGCAACAGACCGTCGGGGAGTAAAATAACTCCAAGAACTTGACTAAATGCAAATGTTGGGCGCAAGCCTCTTCTCTGCCATAGACCACCCCCCCCCTTGACGCTGAAGTGGCAGCAGTTCTATCGCTGCTAGGCCCATGACACCCGAATGGAATGTTATGGCACCTGAATGCAACGAAATAGCCTTCTCAGTGGTGAGAGCCTTCCGAGCGTGTCCCGGCTTGCTTTTAGGGTGATTCCCATGGTTATCCACGGTAAATCCAAAAATGCGTTACACTGCAAACAGGATGTTCAGAGTCTGTGTTCAGAGTCCACCCTAAACCATAAGATAGGTGTTGAAGAAATCCCAGAAAATGAAGTCAATGGCCTGCTTTTTCCAACAGCTGAAAGGTTTCACGATGGTTTTATGGTTCCACGAGAGCTCCACAACTTTCTGCAAGGGCTGCGGGCGGCCCTGAGGTGAGGTTACGAGCGCTCCAGCAGGGTTCCACCAAAGTTCCACGAGGTCTGCAGGGTGGTAAATGATCTCCGGCTGGCCTGCAGGTGGGTTTCCTCTCAGCCTTCTGATCCAAAAACCCCCGACTTCGCATTTCCACCGCGGATGATTTTCTCAGCGCATCGAAGCGCCCAGCGAGCGCAAGCGCCTTGGCATCACCGCGGGACCTGCGAACTTGGATCGGATGCCGTGGACTTTTTCCCCCACACGGCACCTGGGCATATGGAAACGACTGCAACCCGCGTAGCCCCTTCTTGAGCCCAGTCAGCAGGCTCAGATCGTCCAAACGGGTCGGGTAAACGCGCAAAAGCAGGCTGGCATGTGCTGCTTCATTCCACTCTACGACATACAAAAAAGCTTGTGTACATTTTCCTACTCCCTTCTTTTGTTTTGGAGGGGATGGATCTCCTGGTTCCCAGTCGATTCCCCCGGATGTTCGCGCCCATCCGCTTGGATTGGATGTGCCTCAGCACTACAGAGGCGCTGCTCAGCAACGTGGTCAGCAGCACCGAAGCGCCAGGCGAGTGCTCCTGACACATGGCGGACGCATCGTCCCCGGGAGGGGCCCCAGAGACGGCGGGTTGGCCGCCGGGATGTTGAGCGAATCGAGTAAAATGGGAGAAAACGGGATATGAGGTGCAAATTGAATGGTGTTGGCTTTGATTGAACTTGGAATGAAATGGCAAACGCTGGATATGGGTTTGAGCAAATAGATTTAAAAAAAAGAGAAACACTTAGATCAAAAGGGTGCTTTGAAAAAAACACGTCAACACGAAAGAAGTAGAGCATGGCGCAAAACAGGACAAGACCCCGAAAGTGCAACTTCCCATGCGCCACTTCTCCCCAGAGCTCAGTCTGCGAACTCAAAGCCGGCCTCAAGGGAGCACCGCAGCAAAGTCTTCAAAGAAGGACCTGCGTTCGAGCTTCAAAACATCCGCTCCAACAGACAAACACGTGGCAAACAGTTGCGTCAAACTTCCCGTAACAAAGTAGCTCAGAACTTCTGCCAACTATTGGGAACCCCCTGCCCACCCGGCCCTCTTATCCCTCGTGGGGTGCTCCTTGGGTCCGTCCTCTGGGGCTGGTTCCTGTGAAGATGTGGTTGGTTTCTTTTTGGGTCACCAGAAGGGTGTCAGTGGGGTTCCTGGTGTGGGTCTGCCTGGTTTGATTTTGTTTCCGTGGGAAGCATCACACAAGGGAGTCACATGACGCTGTTGAAGAGTTCCCCACTTTTGGCAAGGTCTACCTGAACGTAACCCATGAGGTCTGCAAATGGAAGCCCCAAACGTTGTCCTTGAAAGCAACCCAAAGGTTCCGTCCCGGTAAAATGGCTGGAGGCCACCTCATGGGTTCTTTTTTTTGTGACTTTGAAGGGAAACCAAAAGGACAACCGGGTCCCCCAAAAAAGGACGCACCCATACGGGTGTACCGTCTTTGTACACTTGGTGGAAGGAAAAACGCGGCAGCGCTTTGAGACAACTCCTTTTGCTTCCAGTCTTGCTGGTCCCTGAATTGGGAAACGACCAAATATGCTTTGGAAAACATTTTGGAAGGAACGACATGGTGTCTGATATGCTATTCTCGTTTTTCGCTGCTCATAATTTCCCAGGGTGTTTGCTGTTTGGCTTTGTAATCTTTCTCCCACCTAGATTCAGCCCCCGACATGCCGGCACTCGGCAGTGGATCCTGCTTTCGGATGGTTCTGCCTATCTGCGATTGCTATGACAAAAAATGTTGGTGCTTCGCTCTTGCAGCCTCAATTTCCACATGGCCACCCCCAGCTATTGATCCCTGCCTGCATCAATACGGAGGCCAAGGCTTTGGCCACACCCTCGGCCTGGCAAAAACCTGGCAAACCACAGTCGACTTCCACTCAACACCTGTACAGGAACCCGTCTTTTGATCACAGAAATCCGGATCCCTGGAACACAGTGGTTGTTTTGCCGGAAGGCTTCTACCACGCAAGAGCATTTCAGCCGGAAAGAGATCCCATGTGAAAGAAACACCAGCATAACACCAGCATAATTATAGAATGGCTGATTGCTCAACATCGCACTTTCAATGGTGAGACCTGGGTTGACTAATCTACGCAACTTTGAAGAAACACCGCTCATCCCCCCCCCCCTCCCCGCCCGCTGCATGCCACCAAAACAGCACGTGCCCTTGCAGAGGCACAGATCTCCCAGCCCTCCCCAAGAAAGAACACTGGAAAGGAGGAACAAAACCCAACACCTCCCCGTCCCTCCCGTCCTGGGCGAGCGTGGGGGCTTTCTGCACCAGGTCTCCCTTTCGTCTTGGAAGCTGCTCCCAGCCTCGCACGAGGAAAGCTTTCGGGAGCCACACCTTGAGGTCGGGGAGGGTTGGGCAGCTGGGATGCACCAGGTGTGCGAGTCGGACTCCGGCTCGGACTCGCTTTTGGTTGGGAGATAAAACACTTTAAAAAAAAGGAAGCCCAAAAAGCCGCCGAAAACACTTCCTCAGCCATTTTCTCAACTTTCGCGTGGGGTCCCATCCACCCATTGGGCTGGGGGTTTCTTTCGGGCGGGGCGAGGCGAGCGGGCGGCGCTGAGGCGCCGAGGCTCCGGGCCGCCACGCAGGCCACAAGTTGGGATTGGCCCTCGGCTGGGGTTTGGGGATGTTTGGGGGGTGGGTTGGTTGGGGTTGGTTTGGTTGGGTTGGTTGGGTGAGGTTTCGGTTGGGTTGGTTGGTTGGGTTTGGTTGGGTTAATTGGTTCGATGGGGTTGTGGTTTGGTTTGCACTGGGTTTGATGGCGTGGGGCTGGGGTCCTCCAGGGGCCTAACATTCAAAACATGTGTGCATTTGGGTAGCCGTCCATTGGTCTAAGGGGGGGCTTCGGGGAATCTGTCCTTCTTGGTTCGGATGTTTGAGCAAGAGCAAAGTGGTGAAATCCAACTAACCGAACCATCAGGTAGCCACAAGCAAGTCCAAGTCGCGGAAAAACGCAAGCTGTGCTCACCGAAATCCATCCCCGTCTGCCAGAACTACAAATTCCTGGCAACCTGTGCAGGTCACTTAAAATCTAAACCAGCCACCCCCGTGGACTGAAGCGCCTCCCTTTGATAAGGACTCTTGGTTCGCAGCAAGGTTGCAATAACCTTGCAATCAAACACCCGCCCAAGCGCAACTTCTCCCCATCCTCAAACAACTACTTGCCTCACGCCTCCCATCCTTTGCACCCCAACGCGCTAGCGCGGCTCAGCTGCAAAGACCTCCGATGAGATGGCGGCAGCTCGCCTGCACGGATGTCACTTGGGAGGTTACATTTTAGTGTGTCAAAATAAGGGTCAAAATAAGGGGGCCCTAAAACCGATCGTTTTCGCTTTGGCTTCCCTTTGAACCCACGAAACGGCTGGTTTGATTTTTTGACTTTAAAAAGAACCCCCACAAATCGTGAAAAAGAGAAAGAACCCAACAAACGGAGGAAGCCGCCCGCCGGAAACCGAGCCGCCCGCCCCGCCGCCCCCGGCCTCAGACGCTCCTTGGACAGCGGCGCTTTCCGCAGCTCCGCCAGCAGCGGCAGCGTGGGCCGCCCCCGGGGCCTCCGATCCGAGCACCGCGATGCAGCGGTTCGGTGGAGAGGAGAAAAAAAAAGCGACGTGTGACTTGTGTGCTGTTTCTTGATTTGTTGTTCATGGTATCTCGACGACTCTTGAAAACTTCACATGTTTTTTGTGTTTGGTCGGTTTCTTATGACTATGATTTGAAAGGATTTGAAAGCCCGAAAGGAAAAAGGGTTGGGAAGGGAAGCACAGGACACGGCCCATTTTGCTCATGTCAGACCTGGGCCCCAGGCAGTCCAGGCTGCCTGGCTGAAGGAGCCCGAAGAAGGACAGAGCAAAGGACCGACCAAACTTCCGAGCGTGTCCCGGCCTGATGGGTCCGCAAGCCCAGGACTGCGTCCACCTGTCTCGACTGGCACAGCATTCCGTCTGAATCTTCCGTTTTCGAAACCCAAAAGAACGGGCCCTAGCTGGCTCTTGTGTCCTGCTAAGAAACCCTGTTGACCAAGTCATGGTGCAGAACAACTGTGAGGCGCAGCCCTTCACCCCGAACATGACGTCCGGAAACGCCTCCGGGTTGTCGGGTTGAAGTTGAAGTTTGTGGTGTCCGCCTCAGACCGAAAGAGGTGCGAGTAACCCTCGTTCCAACTTCTCTGGGCATCCTTGTCAATCATCCCAAATATTCGGCCTGTCAAGACCTGATACGGAAAGGTCTCCCAAAACCATCAAAATACCTTCGCCTGGGGCTTCGATTGCCCAAACCATCCTCTCCGGTCCCACCCTCCGGGTTTCGAGCCATGCAAGTCGTCCAGCCGCGCTGAAAAGTTCGGCCGTAGCTTGAGCAAGGGTCCCGAGTAATGTTGACCCCGTATTAGTCGGGGGGGCAAGATTTTGGAAGGTTTTTTGCCTTGCCCCCCTAAATAATCTGGAATTGAGTTTCAATTGATTTAGTATTGCTGGGGCTTCCTTTTGAGATCTGGAATTGAGTTTCCATTTGATTTAGTATTGCTGGGGCTTCCTTTTGAGATCTGGAATTGAGTTTCCATTTGATTTAGTATTGCTGGGGCTTCCTTTTGAGATCTGGAATTGAGTTTCCATTTGATTTAGTATTGCTGGGGCTTCCTTTTGAGATCTTCCTTTTGAGATCTGGAATTGAGTTTCCATTTGATTTAGTATTGCTGGGGCTTCCTTTTGAGATCTGGAATTGAGTTTCCATTTGATTTAGTATTGCTGGGGCTTCCTTTTGAGATCTGGAATTGATAAGCATGGCCCCCCCAATGGGATTCCATGAACTTTGATGAGGTTTCCATTGAGATTGAGTCACTTTTCCATCAGATTCCATGAAATTTGATGAGGTTCCCATTGAGATTGAGTCACTTTTCCATCAGGTTTGCATGGCCACCCCAATGGGATTCCATGAAATTTGATGAGGTTTCCATTGAGATTGAGTCACTTTTCCATCAGGTTTGCATGCCACCCCAATGGGATTCCATGAAATTTGATGAGGTTTCCATTGAGATTGAGTCACTTTTCCATCAGGTTTGCATGGCCACCCCAGTGGGATTCCATGAAATTTGATGAGGTTTCCATTGAGATTGAGTGATATTAGGCTCGAATCTGGCTGATTAGGCAGGCATGGTCCAGCAATGGCATCTGGAACATCAAGCTCATCAGGCCTAGGCTCATGGGAGGAATTGTGAGTATCAGCTCTATCAGCTCACAATGAGGGGCTGGAATCAGATGAGGACCTGGCATCAGTTGGGCATGACTCTGCATATTGGGCCAACATGTACACAGGATTGGTCCATATTGGGAGGATGGAGAGGCCATTACAAGCTGAGGTCATTAATATCATTGGCAGGTTTGTTGGCCTATCCAGAGCTGATACATGGTGGGCATTGCCATTGGGTGGCATCACATGTCAGTTCTGCTCTCTGGCCAATGGTGGATATTCAGATACATGGACCATGATGGGCTGGCTCATTGCTTTTGCAGATGAGGGCAGTGAGATGATGATTGGCCACAATGAGACTGTCTTCATTGAGACAGACATGTTTTAACATGATGCTATAGGAGAAAGTGATGGGCAGTGCATCAGTGCATGTGGCAGTGGTGAGGCTTCTGAGGCTCCCATATTGCTTTCCATGAGACTGTGGGAGGTAGATTATCATGAAATTTCCATTGGCCCCCATGAGTTTCCATGAGTTTACAGTGGGTTTCCATGAGGTTCCATGAATTACGATGAATTACCATGCAGCTGTTGGCACTGGCATATCAAGAATCCAGCCATGAGTAGTACCATGCTGATGGGATTGGGTGCAATTGCTGTGATGGTTCTGGCTGTCATGATGAGTATGCAACCAGTGCCATGACTGAAGAGAAGAGGAAATACATGTGAGAGTGTTGCATTCCAATGAAACCACCATGAAGAGAAATTAGTCCACATGAGCTTCAGGAGATGATCCACCATGCCATCCTGTATGCCCTGATGGCCACTATGCCTGTCTGCTGCTATTTGGTATATTTGGGATTGATGATGATGCAAGAATTCCAGGTGGCTATGCATGAAAACAATGCAATCCTATCAGCCCTGAGAAGGAGGACACTGAAGCATGGGGGTGCAGCATGGGTGCATGGGTGCATTGCAGGACTGATCAGGCCCATGGTGGCATTGGATTTAGATGCTTCTATCAGCAGGAGAATCATCAGAATGAGAGGGTGGATATTGGAGAGTGGCTTGGATTTGTGCATGGGGGGGATGCCTGTGGTGCTTGGGGGGGTGGGGCATGAGTGCATGACAACAGCTGAGATTGGGCCAAGAGGACTACAACCATCAGGAAAAGGGCCACCCAGATGGCATGCTGGATGTTGGAGGAGAGGGATGGGATTCTTGGAACTGGCATTGAGGATTATTGGTATGAGATATGTAGTGTGGCTGCACATGAGCATGGGAAGGGGGTGGGGAAGGGGGGATGAGTTGCATCACTGCATGGCAACTGAGGCTCCATTGTGTGGGTGAGGATTGGATGCATTTATATCAGGATGGTGCTGGCTGAGGATTTCAGTGCCCTGGCAACCATGCATGCATGATTCCATGAGCCCATTTGTGAGGCAGTTGAAACACCATGCCATGCTGACAAGGTGACATGAAGGATCAATACAATGATGCCTCTGCCAGCAATGCTGAGCTCTGTATGGAGATGCTGGCAAACATGAAAACATGCATGGCAGATGGCATATTTTGGCCATATACAGGTGGCACTGATGAGTTCACTGGCATGATGCATGATGAGAACCCCCACAGTTACCTGGTAATTGGTTAGTAAATCAATCATGTGCCCATGAGAGCAAACCATGTGAGTTCCTTGCCATGAAAGCATGCTTCTGCCAATGTGAACTAAGGATGGAAGGATTGGATCAGGCATGAGTTCCTGGCCATCAAACCCTTGATGGTGAGTGAGAGGAGGGATGAAGTCATTGGCTTCATGAATGAACTGGACATATCATTAGAGCCATACTGGCATGCAGCGTCTATGGATGATGATTAATTAGCTGAGCATCATGAGCAAAAGAATGAAAATGTGCTGGGGGCATGAGCAAGGCCAATGGACCATGCAGTTGCATGTGCAGGCACTGATGGGCAAGCTTGGAATGTGAGTATGGCAGCACTTTGCAGCATTTTTGGCATCAAGCATTGGTAGCATTTTGTGCATCTGAAGCCATGGTGAGAATTGAGCCCATTCATTTGATGGCCATGGTGGTGGTCATGTGGGCTATCAGCTTGCAGGTGATGATGACCAATGAAGTGACTTGGATGCATCAGTGAACAAGCAGTGCATGCATGCATTGGAGAGAGAGATGAGTTAATGCATTGTCTGAGGGCCCATGCTGGCACTGGATTTGGCCATTGCCATATGCACATCAGCCTATGTGCTGCATGGGAGATTGAGGAAGTTGAACATGGCCTTGTATTGCATTTGGATGGGAGGACCTGGGTTGCTGTTGATGCATGCATATGAATGTTGATGGATTTTGCATGTTTTCCTGGCAGGATGGCCGGCCAATTTAGTGGAATGAGGGACAAGGCCAATGTAGTGCATGCGAGGATCAGAGACATCAGGGGGTGGGTCCTGGAGGATTGGCAGAAAAGGACATGCAGTGATGAGAAGAGATTGGGTTTGGCGAGAAAATGGCTGCTCGTGGAGTATGATACATGGATGTGTGCATCATTGAAAGCACCATGGGCAGAGATTTGAGCCATTGCTGCAAATAGTAAACATGTAGAACACATTTGCACATGGGTAGCATCATGTTTGGGAATTTATGACCTGTGTTTTGCAAGTGATTAAGGCACGCTGGCATGGACCAAGATGCAATGCACATTCATCAGAATGATGCTTAGCAAAGATACCAGTGACTTGGCATGAAACAATTAGCATGACCATTAACATTTCAAGAAAGAGAATGCATTGAATTTGCATCACTTTTGTAATACTGAGGTGAGATCTTCAATAGCTTCAATGATGAGGATGCAACATTCCATGAGCTTCAGGATGAGATGCTGCGCAACATGAAAGCTGCCACCATGACACACATCTTCAAGCCCATTAGCCAACATAGCCAGCATTTTGAAGACATGATGAGCGATGCTCATGGCACTGGAGGCTTGGCATCATAAATAATGCAGCATTTGCATGCTATTGACCAAATAGTTAATTAATTCACTAGCATGTCCTCATGCATTATCATGGGACCTAAGGATTGGTCCATTGGATCCACCATGAGCTGACATGCCTGAAGGAATTCATTGGCAATGATGATGCCAACATGACAATGGCCATGAGCCAGATGGCACATATGCCAGAACCCAGTATTAAGCAATATTGGGATTGGCTGCAAATGGGGGCTCCCATCAATATCAAAGAGTGAGGATGAGCATGAGAGCATGAGCCATGCATCAGTTGAGTTGATGCTTTGTTTGGAGAAATATGAATGACACAATGACATGGCTCATGAACTTGACATGGCTCATGGACCACTGAGTCTGAGGCCCCATATTTGGACACACACCTCTCAAGAGCTCATGCCAGCAGCGCATGTCAGCTGTATTGAGATGTGTCCAAATGAGACCAGGAACCATTAGATATGTTGATTGATGGATTTCATTATGACCAGAATTGGGCCTCAGTTCATGGGTTCCACTATTACAAGCAAATCAGAGTTGCAAGATGCCAAAGCATGGGCTGGCTGGTGGGGGGATGAGGCAAGGTACTCATCCTCGAGAGCTGGCATGTCAGCTTCTAATGGTGCGGGCTGTGCATAATCCCATTCTATGAGATCACTCAGCTCTTTGGCTCCATCTATCCTCTCCCAATTGGGCTCATTGATTCTGCAGCCTTCATCAAGAACATGCGCCAATCTATTGTCCAGCCATGTTTTGCTGATCCTCTTGGATCCCAATGGCTTGTCTTTGGCCCAATCTTCTTCACCACACCATCTCATCTTACCTGTGGCATCAGGTCTGACTGCAAGGAATCCATTGCGTCTGAGGCCAGCCAAAACCCATGCTTTCTCCTCATTGGCCTCCACCATTTGCTGCATAGCAGCATCTACAGCAAAAGCTATGTCCAGGTTGCTGATCTTAGGCAATTCTGTGGAATCTCTCTGCATGGCCTCCACCTTCTCATCAATGTGTGATTTCACAGCTGCCTTGAACTGATGGCTGAAATCTGTATCTGTCAGCTGCATGGCACTGGTCATCTTTGCCTGTATTGTTGATTGTGCTTGATGAGATAAATA